AAACTGTGGAGCAGAGCGAGAATTTGTTTGGAAGGAGACAGACAACAGTGTGGCACATGGCTACAAATCACAAATGTGGTAGGCTGAGAGCAGACAGTGGAAATGCCCATTTCCATATTGTGACAAGGATTACTATTTTCATCTGACTTGATTTTGATCCACAGGCTTGAGCTTGAGAGATCTTAGAAGATAAAAAAACTTCACCTAATAATTCATAAAAAGAGATTATTCCTAATTTCCTGAATTGGGGAAGAAGAGTAAGAGTTTTGAGGCATACTGATGAAATATACCAAAGAAGTTCTCCTCCTTTTTTTCCCCCTAAGGCACTATTTTTGAACTCCAGGCCATTGCCTGTAGGACCCCAACAGATATTACAAAATAAAACACTAAATAAACATATCTCACATTAAGCAGCAACTTCACCAGCTATACTTCCATGCTAAGTAGACAGACCTTTTTTTTTTTTTTTTCAAACACAAAAATTAACGCAATCCCTCTGAAAAATACTCTGGAGAATGTACAAGTTGGATAACTATTCAGCAGGTGTTTACAGTGGGGTTTTTTAAGGTCAGGATAACATTCCTTGAGCAACAGAGTAAGTTCAGGCTTGTGCTTTGATTTCACAATGAGCTTTCCACTTATACAACACAACAGCCCATCTTTAAAATTCTTTTATGCACACTGTGCTGTTCAGATCTCACTATTAGCCTGCTCCAAATTTATGAAGAAAGGGGCATGTGTTCTTCCAGTTTAAAATCAGCAAAACACAAACAATAGTTTCTCACACACACTAACACAGAGACAGGTGTACCCAGCTCACACACTAATACCATCAGCTCACACTGACACAGTTCTCTCAGCATCTGTATACTTGGCTCAAGGATGAGCAGGATCATTTCAGGTGTTTATAACCTGCTGTCTTTAAATTATTGCTGAGATGCCCAGGACAGCTGGAAATTGATCAAATTTTACGTTTTCTTATTTGTTACTCTACTTTTATTACACAGACTGTGTTCTGTGGTCTGATTTCTCTCTTGTGGCTTCCTCTGTTCTCTGCTCTGCTAAGATGCCACCCTGAACATGCAGTAATCTCTCCCTTGTCACCAGCAGTCTTAGAGAAACTGCTGCTCTTATTTCCTGGTAAATAGGAAAACTCATCAAAATGTCTTTCTTGTTTAAATTGTGGTGGTTAACATGCTTTCCCACCTCACTGCTATGAGATCCACCTCCACACCAGCTACCTCTGTGTTGTTTACCCCAAGTCACCAGCCAAGCCCACACAGCCACCCTCTCACTCTCCCACCAGTGGGACTGGGGAGAGAACTGGAAGGGTGAAAGCCCACAGGTTGGGATAATGACTGTTTAATATGGGAAGCAAAAGCCGCTCACACAAGCAGAGCAAAACGAGGAATGAATTCCCTGCTTGCCGTGGTTGGGCAGGTGTTCAGCCATTCCCAGCAGAGCAGGGTCCCATCCACAGAACAGTGACTTGGGAGGTCAAATGCCATCACTCTAAATGTCCCCCCTTTCCTTTCCCTCCCACTTTACACACTGCACATATTGTCACACGGTCTGGAACATCCCTGGGGTCACTTGGGGTCTCCTCAGCATGAGGAGGAGCAAAGCCCTCGGCTCTGTTCAGTCAGCAATAACAAAAACATCTCTGTATCATCACCCCGAGCTCAGCACAAATCCAAAACACAGACCCACTCCAGCCTCGGGGAAGGAAATTAACTTTACCCCAGCCCAGACCAGCACAACTCTGCTTTGGAGAGCAACACTTCAGGCGCAGTGACAGTGCAATATTATGTATTTGAGGACCTGACTAAAAATTGAAAGTTCAAGCAGGGATTGCTGATCTGCTTCAAAACGGCACCAGTAGAGGTATCACTGCTGGCATGTTAAAGAATTTGGGTATCTCTACACAAGTTGCAGGCACAGAGGTGGCTGCAGTGCAGATGTTGCTGGCCCAAATTGCGACTTTATTTTTGTGTCACCGTAGGTTCCTTGCAGTCACTGCCATTTTAATTTCCCTCCCTCTCCTTCTTCCCTCAGGCTATCACACACGAGATAGCCTGAGTGGTTTGTAGTTTTCACTGCCTAGCAATGAAACGGATGCCACTCGGTGGGGATAAACCAGTACTGCAAGGAGTGAAAAAGATTACATCGTTTTAAATCCCGTCAGTAGCTCCGTGGCTGTAGCTGCACGGACGCAGAGCCCTGATCAGGGAAAAAAAAAAAAAATTAAGCTGAACTCATTTCTGCTACAGAAATGTATTATGTCTAATTACCTCTAAACTGGGCAAGTCGATATTCTGCTCTAGAAAACAATCTCTGGCTTCTGTGTCTGCAGGACAGAAAATAAGGATTTGTTAATGACAGGGGTAGAAAGAGATCACTTTGACTAAATTAGGATCTCTTCACGTAGATGAAATGAAGATGGAAATGGCCAGGAAATAGAAATGGGCTGCATGCACATAGGTCAGTTCTCAGGGAGCAAATGAGTCACTGGATGCACAGAAAGGAGGAGACATTGAAAACAGGAACCTATTCTGTGAATATGGTACTGATAAAAGGCAAATCAATGAAAATAACAGCTCGCTATTCATAGCAAGCTGAAATTATTCTGGGAAAAGTTCAAGTGTTTGCTATGTTGAGTGGCATAAACCTTTTCCCAGAATGCTTCTACAATTTCAGTTATTTCCTGAAATTAGCTCTTGGTAGGCAAAGAACAAGTTCAAGACCACCTGTGAAAGCTGCAGATCTTCAGACTGCTTTGCTTAACTTCACCGTACAGTGAAACTTGGAGCATTGGAAACTTGGAAACTTGCAAAACTTGGGGCCTTTAAAAGTTCTTTTCACCAGCATATGGAAGCTGAATGGAAAAGATAGAAAGAGTTCAGGGAAAATTTAGTAGGGAAAACCAGCCAAAAATTCACAAACTAGTAAACTGAAAGGAGCCTGTGAGAAAGATGGAGAGACTGTTTACAAGGGCATGTAGTGAGAGGACAAGGGGGAACAGCTTTGAGAAAAATGCATATTTTATGATTGGCTTTTCGCAAATATTAAAATGAATATTATATGTGTTGTGTTAGAAAGTTATGTTGTATTAATCCTCTTAAGTAGTGTGTTAAGTATAGTTTTAGGTTATAACATAAGGTTAAAATAGAAACCATGCTATGTAGGATACTTTTTTTAAAGAAAGCACTCGCACCGAGATAGCAGCCACAGGCCACCTCAATCTTTCAGAGAAAGAGAATTTATTGCTCCATTATCAGAAGAAATGAACTTCTTCCCACCTTGCTCAGCCCTGAAGACACCATCACGATTAAGAGGAAGAAGCTGACACTGACCAGACAGAATCCTGTGTTTGAATGGAATTTATCCATCATGTATGAGGTGTATGACTATGCAACAGGCTATTGCTTTTAAGGGTTAATCCTCTGTTAACATGGGTCCTTTTTCGGGCTTGTGCTGCCCAGAAAAAGGTACCTGGGCGTCCATAACTCTTTGTTTCTGTTGTCTTGTATTGTCCTAATCCAAATTGTCCAAATTATTATTACTCTAATTATATTGCTATTTTAATAACCATTTTATTATCATTAAACTTTTTAAAAACAAGTGATTGGCGTTTTTCACAGCTTCATACTGAAAGAGAATAGATCTAGATAAGATATGAGGAAGAAATTCTTCCTTGTGAGGGTGGTGGGACCTGGCAGAGGGTGTCCAGGGAAGCTGTGGCTGCCCATCCCTGGAAGGGTCCAAGGCGAGGCTGGATGGAGCTTGGAGAAACCTGGGATTGTGGAAGGTATTCCTGCCCATGAATGAGTATTAAGGTCCTCTCTGAGAAGAACAGTGGATTTGTCTTCACAAACAAGCTCTGGGTCTGCTGGTAGATAAAACCAGCACTGGGATTGAAAAGACACAATGGGAAGGATTCCACTGATTGATGAACGGAAAAAGATATTTGCTTTTACAAGGTTTTTAGGTTTGCTGATAGATGAAATTAGACATTGAAAGACCAAAGAAACAATGAAGAAGAAAAACCCCTGAATTCCATAAGAATTAAAAATTAAAAGGGAGGGTTATACATTAGAGGGAAATCTTTGGTATCAGGCGTATTGGGAAGTCTGTACCTCTCAAGTACCTCAGCCAATGGGGAAAGAGAGAAGGGAAATTGGGATAAAAAGGAGGCTGCATCCTCCAAAAATTTGAGAGATCACAGGGGAATGCCCCATGGCCTCTCCCTTTATTTGAATAAAGTAAAAGGACTCCTCTGTCTCCTTTTTGGACATAAACCTCTGGTGTTTGTGGATTAATCTCCCTAAGACCTCCAGCCCCAACCATCTGATTACATGAATTTTCTTCAGATCCTCCGAGTCTGGTAAACAAAGAAAAAGCAAATGTCATGTATATTGGAGTTACGGATCTTCAAAAATGTTTCACTTGGGTAGTTCATGAGCAAACTAGCTTTGCTGGAAATACTGTGGGATTGGTGCAACACTGGATATAGAACTTTAAGGAGGCAAAGTTAGCCCTCACTATCAAAATGGAAGTAAAGATGGATTAAAGTGTTTCTGCTGAGCTCTGGCAGCATCTGGTGCACATAAATAACCTCAGTAACCTCAGACAGCATCAACCTGGGAAAGACCACATGTGGAACCGACCGTCAGGCTGGTAATGCTCTTGATGAGCTTCAGACATATTCAACAGGAAAGAAAAATAAAAAAACAAACAATGTATCAGGGTAAGTGTAGCGACCTGTGCACGAAGTGCGCAGGGAAGCAACACGAACGCAACTGGGGCTCTGAGGGAGGCCACAACCGACCTCAAACTGTGCATGGAGCAGGACTACCAGCATTCTGACCAAAAAAAGGCAAACAAAAGGCAGGGCAGGCACCTCGGAGAGCGGAGCCGCGGGCTGAGGGAGGGACAGCCCCGTGAGGCGCCGCGCCCGCCCCGCCCCGCGCTGACGGCGGCCGGCAGCGGCCAAGCCGCGTCCTCAGGGCTCTGCCGTCCCGGGCAGCCGCTCCGGGAGCTCCGTGCCCGGCTATGGAGCTGTGGCAGGTGCCGCTGAGCTTCTCCCGCCTCCGCATGTTCCCTTTCTTCGACCTGGCGCATTATGTCGCCTCCGTCCTGGCGCTGAAGGAGCAGCGGGGTGAGCGGGGCGGGCGGGACGGGGCGGACACCCCACACCCCCCATGCGGATCCCGGTGTTTCCCCCGTGTGTCCCGGGGGGTGCCCAGCCCCGGCAGGGTGAGGATGGGGCTCCGAAGGGAGCCGCCGTCCCGGTTACCTCGTGGCCGTGCAAATGGGATTGTCTGCCGCCTGCATTAGCCCGTCTGTCCATAAGTGTTGTCTCACTGCCCGCTAAAGACACCCAGCCAAAGCTTTTCTCGCTTTCCAGAAGTTAAGAGGCGCTGGCGAAATCAGCCAAGAGTTTGGTCGGAAAGCTTTTAGGTTTTTTTTTTATTCATTTATTTGATTGTTTGTTTCAGTTTTGAGGTCTCAGGAGTAAAAGGGCTGAAGCCCCCCGAAGTTGGGTTTATGCAGAGAATGTGTGTGTAACACAGGACAGTATCTCTGTGCCCAGAATTGCATCTGAGAGGAGAGATTAGCTAGACTTTACATCCTTCACACACCCTGTTTGTGCAGGGGGGTGTTAAGGCCTTTCTGCCTTGTAGGAAACAGCTCAGGACTCTCACGGGTAGGTCCTGTGCCAGTGGCTTGTCAGCCTTGTACCCCGTGGACTGTAAAGTGAATTTAGCAAAGCTTTCCACTTCCACTAACAAGGTTTTGTATAAGAGCACATCATGGCATTTCAGTCTGCATGCTCTCTTCCAGAAAATCATTTTTACTCTGGCTGTTAACCCGAAGCCTGTTTTTTTTTTGTGTTTTTTTTTTTTGGTTTTTTTTTTTGTTGTTGTTTTTTTTGTTTGTTTGTTTGTTTTTGTTTTTTTTCTGTCACAAATGTAGGCACTGGCCTTGTTTCTGTGTTTAGAATCAAGCTACTTGTGGTGTGGGTTTAGACACGTTTACAGTAACTCTGTAGGAAACTGAGCTGGCTTTTGGGATTACAGGGCGAATTTGGGAGCTCCTGCTCCTAGATTTCTAGGGCTCTGCCCTGTTTGTTTAGTGAGAGCTTGGTCTTTGGTCCCTTCCTTACTGTTCCAAGGTGAATTTTGACCATCTGCTGAGGAAATGCACTTAACCGACTGTGGAGACTGGTGTAAAGTGCTTATGCATTCTAGAATCTTCACCAAACTTTGTTAATGCTGCTAAAATTTTTGACGGGCACTGGGCTGTGGCATTGTGTAATGTGTCGGTTCCATTTAGAAAGAGACTTTCTGACATTATCATGCAATGCTTTTAAACTTTTCCTCTGGAATGGGCACACCTAAAGATGAGGATGAGAGGCCTCTGGGCCTGGTTGCGGTGAGACAACACTTAGGGAAAGAAAATTGCTATCCAAAGTCTGGTCAGATCCATGCTCCTATTTTTTTTTTCCTTCTCCGTTTAATAGCTGGTAGTTCAGAATTCCTGAGTATTTTCTAATAGTTGGAATTAATAACTGTAATCCAGGTGACTGCCTGCTGGCCTGTTTCTCACTTCCCAAGTGGTTTTAACTGAGTGTTAAATCATAACTGAAATAGCAGTTATTATGAATACTCAGTATGGATATATTATCGTCGATTAATGCTGTCTATGTTCCTTTTGGAAACTTACAACAGTAGCTATATTTGACAGGGAAATTACGGGATAGCCTTGAGTGCCTGGTGATGTAAGGAGTATGTGGTCAAGTTACAGCCACATTTACTTTATCCCAGATTACTGTCTCATTAAAATACCAACCCACCCCCACTGCTTAAAATCAGATTCAGTGTGGGCATTTGGATCATGGATGGGTGCATACTAACTGGGACTTTCCCAATCCTCCTAGCCAGGCTTTCCTGCTCACTTGTGACAGGACAACCAACTTGTTGCCTTCTGTATGTTTTAAAAGAAGAGTTCTTGATTAGTGCTTTGAGGATGGCCTAGGAGTTGCTTGCTTGCAACTCCAGCCAGGTGTAGAACAGGCAATTTTCTTTTTTTGGGATGGAGGCACGGTGAAAGGTGGTGGTGGTTGAGGATGTGTCATATTTGGTTTGTTCCTGATGTGTTTGAGGTGATTTGAAGAGAAATAATTTCGCTTCAGCATAGTTTTGCTCTGTTAAGTCTGACTCTATAAATCCTTTATCTTAACTAAGGATATTCTAGGTGGTTGAATGGGGTACTAGACAAAATATGTACAAATCCTCCTGGTGTGCTCACTTGATGTGTGTGTAGTGTGCATTATTGCCTATTTGGAACATGCAGAAAAGTTTGAAGCAGTTATAATCCTATTGACACAAATAGTTAGTTGGTTAAGGGTTTGTTTTGTTTGTTTGTTTGCGTATTTTTGTTTGTTTGTTTTGGGGTTTTTTTTGTTTTCTTTGGGGTTTTTTGGGTTTTTGTTTTGTTTGGGGTTTTTTGAGTTTTTTCCCTTGGTTTTGTTTGTTTGTTTTTTAATGTTACTATTGTTCAGGAACAATTCTTAAAACCGTATTCAAAATTAGTCCTTGTGTTTTGAAACCTTTCCCTAACTTTCAGAAGTGTACATCTGCAGGGCTGGTGGCCTTCTGGCAGATCCACCATTGCGTGGTTGTGTGATGCCTCATTAATTTTAGAGGATGCATCAGAGGACAAATATAAATGACCACTTTGTATAAAAACATGTGACCTACTTAAAAACTGAATTTGTCTTCTGAAAAGCTACACCCTAGTAACAATTTAACTAGCAATGCTGAGATGATCTTTAAACTAGTATCAACTTTTTTGCCTCATTGTCTTCTGTATTGTGTACATTCCTTGTTAGGAAACAAGGATATATATATATATATATATATATATATATCCTTGTTAAAAACTGACATTTGAGCCATTTCTAGTGCTGACCAACAGAAAAATGTTGAAGTGCAATAGAGGTTCCAGTTTCCTGACCTTTTACTTGTAAAATGAAGACATTTACCTGCTCTGCTGTGGAGCTTACTGCTAGAGGGCAATCTGGATGTGCCCTTAAAACTGAAAACCACTTGCTGCTAGTTGTGGGGCAAAGGAAGCGTGGAGAAGCTGGTGATTGTTGGAAGGCAGGAGAATGGATCTGAAGAGAGAACAGAGACCTAATTTTAAGCCTAGTCCAAAAGTAGTAAGCACAAGCCATTAATAATTTACAAATGTCTTAACTGGGAGCACTGGGTACTGCAGTTTGAAAAATAAATTGCAAAATAGTTAAAAATAAAAGAGATGTTATTTTATATTTAAGTATTCTGTAGTTCTGAGGAATGCTCATTTTTATAAATTGGCTGTTTTATGGGCATTTAGATAGTGCTGCAGTACTTGATATCTATGCCAGCACTAAAACTGGAACACTAAAACCAAAACTTGTTAATGCATTGAATGAATTGAGAGTGCTGTATGCTTTTTTAAATATTTGAGCCTCTCATCTTTGGTAGAAGCTTCTTTTCCCACAGAAATGCCTGATAAACTAAAGCTTCTACTCTGAATTGGGAACAGATGTCAGATTTCATTTTGGGGCAGACAGTAGTGCTTTTGTGAACTTCAGCCTTTGGACTACAGAAAATTAAACTTGTTCAGGCAAACAGCTCAGAACTAAGTGTAAAGGGGAAGCTTTGGCAACACTGAACTTTTAAAGTGGAAGGAAATAGTCAAAACAACCACTTGAGCATATTTCTAGCTTTGGTAAAATGTTGTTTACCTGTAAAAATGGTTAATACTTCCCAATACCTCCAGTATAATCTTTGAATATTATGTACTCTTTTTGGCATAGTTAACTTGCACTTTAAAATGATTGTTCATTTTAAAGATGATGAAGTAAACCAAACTGTCAACCTTTTAATAAATAGGGAAATTTACATTTATTATTATAGTTCAAGGTAACCTTTCCCCCCCCCCCCCCCCCTCTGTTCAAGAGTGCAGCTGAAAACGATTTGATAATTATCTTGGATGCAGTTTTCATTTTGCCCAGCAATCACAGCAGCATATTGTGAGAAAAGAAGGGAAAACAGTTACCTTGAATTCTTGGAACACTCAAAAGCAGAAATGGAATTCCTAGAATAACTCTCCAAATGTCAGCAATCCTGTTTAGATTAGCCACTTAGGTGTTCTTAATACAAATTTGAAAGCGTGTCCCTGTGCCAGGCTGTTTACAACAAGACTTCACTGCTATGCTCTGAAAGCTTTTTCCTCTTGGTATCTAGATATAACAAACTAATGCACAAAACATATTCAGTAAACACTTCATGTCAGCCTTCACTTCTCTTTAGGAGTTGAAGTTAAAGTCACCCTGCCCTGGGGTTTGTATTTCTGAAAAATTTTCCTGTGAGAGCCTGCTGATTGCTGGAGGATTTTTCATTACCCGAAGGAACTAAATTGAAAAATACTGACCTTTAAAACATGATGTTGTTCTCCAGTTTTCATTCCTGTTTATGCAGAATGTTACATGTTGTTGGTTTTTTTTTTCCCCACAGGAGTTGTGGAAGTGTCGGTCCGAAGTCCCTTGGCCTGCTGGTTTAGTGCAATGCTTTATTGCTTTGGGGGCTCAGTCTTGTCCTCCTTGATGCTTGGTGAACCTCCAGTAGCATTTCTGGCAAAGACCATAAATATTCTACTGGCATCCTCAGTCTGGTAAGCAGCCACAGTTGGGTAAGATGAGTGATATTGGCTCTAAGGAAGGTGTATGCTGTAAACTGATACTGTACCATCGGGGTTCGGTGCAAATCAGAACTTTTACTTAAAAGTGTTGTGGGTTTGGATGCTGTCTCTTCATCCAGAGTGTCACAGCAGCTATGATCCTGTTCTCTGGGAACAGAGAGCAGCTCTTACAGCCTGTTGTGTTACCAAATGCTCTGTTGCTAGATTAGACTTGCCTTAGGTTTTTTTAGTATTCCTGGTCAAACAGGTGCAAACATTACTTTTTAATAAAGTTATTCAGTTGTTGATTTACTGAACATAGGTATGTCATAAATGCAGCCAAGTTTTTAAAAAGTAGTTATTGAAGATCAGAACCTGGCTGATGTAAAAATTTTGGCTTTTTCCAAGACACATCTTTCCTCCAGTTCCTACTACCAGACACTTTTTTTTTTTTTCTGTATTTCATTCTGTCCCAGATGGGTGTGTGTTGTGGTGGAAGACAGTAGCTAGCTGAATTGTATAATTGAATCAAGTATTAGGCATTTTGGCCTGCTTTGGAGTTAAAAAAAACCATTCTGGAGTTATTTTCATGTAAATATGGTCTTCTGGTGGAGTTCATTTGTTCCAGAAAATGATCTTTGAGGAAAACTTCAAACTTAACAAAAATTGCGAGCAGCAGTGGGGTTTTGAATTTAGAAATCTCAACCACTATATTTGGATAGTCTGACCTGCTTAAAATCCTTTAGTTCCACTTGCCCCATAAGTTTTACAATTGCAAATTCATTAACATGAAAGCAAGTGTTTCTGTCTCTCTGGGTATATGTGTTAGTTTTATGGTCTTTGTGTTGTAATAGAAGATGACATATTTAATTTGGTGAAATTAATTATATGTATTATTAGTGAATTATTAACAGAACCTGCCTGTGGTTGTGTCAGTCTGATGTGGGCAGACTGATTGCTTGTTTCATCAAGTGACACGAGCTAGGAGTACACTTGAAGAGAGCAGGATTTCTGTTTAACTCACTGTGGTCAAACGTGATTTGCTGTGCACAAATTAAAGGAGGTTTTAGTGAGGAGCTGCGAACGTTACAAAACGTTTTAAGCTTCCAGCTCTACAAAGCCCCCTCTTCCTGAGTGTAGTGGCCTTAATTCCTGGTCCCAGATCGTGCACCATGGCATTCCTCAAGCCACACTTGGGACTGGAAAGTGAGTGGAGTCGTGCTGGGCTTGGGGAATGCTCCGGAATAGTCTGTAGGACAGCGGCATCTGCTGTTAGCAGAGATTACAGGCAGGAACGCCGTGGTGGGCCTTCAGGGCCAGCCTCAGTCCTGTCACCAGCGCTTCAGGGTCCTAAACCCACAGTCTGCAGATCTAAATTAATTCTGGTGTGAGTTGTCTTGGGAGTAGGTGGCTTAAACGGTTTTTTGCAGTAGCCTGTAAAATACATTCTCTCTCTGCATCTCTGGCTTCATATCAGCTGAAGCCTGGTTGCATACAGAGGCATCTTTACAATATCTTTATCTTTACAATAAGAGATAAAGGGAAGGGCCTCACAAATTCTTGGTAGGCAGGATTGAGATCAAAAACCTTAAAGGGGCAATGTCTTTTTTTTTTTTTTTAAGAAAACAAAATTTATCCTTCCTTTTAAACACTTTCTTGCTCTTATGCAATTATTACTCTTACTCCTGTACTGAAATAATCTACTTAAGACAACTTAATCAAGATACTTAATCTTGATTGAGTTTTTGAGAATGTCTCAGTAAGAACTGAATTTTATTTATTATTGAAGACATATAATAAAACACTACATAATCTGATCTTTTAAAATTTACTGTCACTTAGGATTTAACTGTTAGCCATCTTTACTTGGTTTTAAAAGCAAGTTATCAAAGATATTTTGTGTAGTGTTCTTTCAGTGCTTTGAATAAAGAAATGTGCTTGTAACTGGCAAGCTGTAAAAGCTAGAATTGGTGAGTACTAAGATGTTATATGTGTTTAAATATAGCCATGCATTTCATGTAGTATGACATTAACTAGTGGAGGCATTCTTGCTGAAGTTATATAATTCCAGGTACCTACAGTCTGGAAGCACAGAGTCAGCATTTAATTTACCACCCTGTTGTAATCCTATTTAAAAAAAAAATCCCAAACAAAAAACCAAAACAAAACAACCCCCCTAGACCAATCTAAACAAAAAATAACTCACAAGATAAACTCAAACCACACAAAGTCAGCAGATACCACTTTAATGACTTGAATTATAAAAATGTGATATGTAAGGTGCAGAACAATTGGAAAAATGTAAAGCTGTTTCACATGGACTTGAACAGATTTTTCTCTGTGACAGTGAGGCAGTAGTGCTCGGTTGTGGTGCAAAAGCTCAGGCGTGCTCAGAAGCTTTTCAAATTTGTTCCAAGATGCGTGCCACGAGACTTGGAGTTGTCAGTAGTATATCAGGCATTGCTAGACACATTCCAAAAATATCTTTAAAGATTACGAAAAAATAATTCCTTAGCAAAAGTGTGGCTAATGTTTTCTTCCTGATGATTTTCAGGTATCTGGTGTTTTACTGCCCAGAAGACATATTCTGCCGCTGCTTTTCCTTTCTGCCTCTTCGTCTTCTGGTGGCAGGGATGAAAGAAGTGACAAGGACTTGGAAGATCACAGATGGCATTGCACATGCAGACACCGTCTACAAAGATGCCTGTCTCATCATGGTGGCTGTGGGCTGGGCCAGAGGTAACGTGCACAGCATCTTGTTCTGAGGGTTTGGGGTTTTTTGGGGTGGTGTTTAAATGTCTAGCCCCTACAGCAGAACTGTAGCACCATCCTTGCTGTGCTGGGCATGGTAGTCTTGATGCAGTCTGATGTCCCCTGAAGGAAAAAGCCTGTGCTGCAGATTTTCTGCCTGAATTAAGGGTGACATTGAAGGACTTGGAGGGGAGTTCCCTTCAGAAGGTCTTACCAGAGCTTGCAGGATGGGCAGTTGATGACAATAAAGAAGTAAATCTTCTGTGTAGCTGTTGCTGAACTTTCCAACAACATTGTTGCCTTGCATGAGGCTGAAGAAGAGAACTGGGTATCTTAGGTTTTTAGGTTGTAGCCATTACTTGATTTTAAACGTAGGAATGACCCTTGTTGCCTGCCTGCCATTTGGAATTCTGGAAGCCACCTTCCTGACAGCTGTATTTGCAGCCACAGCATCAGGGTCCCTTCAGAAAGTAGTTGTGCAGCTCTTGTTTCTCCTTGATTCTGTGCTGCTGTGGAAAGCAACACGTGTGAATGTGATGATTGCATCAGTTCAGATGCTGTCACTTGCAGGCAGACCTGAGCTTCTTGCTGAGTCTCTCAGCCTCTGAGGTCTCATGCTGTTGTTTGAGTCTTGTTTGTATGAGAGGTTGGATTAAATCTTTTTAAGTCTGGGCTTTGGTGCCACATTTAGCACCTGGTGTCATGAGTTTTTCTGGGAGCAGTGGCATAGCAATGGTAGCAGTCAGTGGAAACTTGCCATAAATCTCTGCAATTTCAGGTGCTGGTGGTGGCTTAATTTCCAACTTTGAGCAGCTGGTGAGAGGAGTGTGGAAACCTGAAACCAATGAGCTCCTGCAGATGTCCTAGTAAGTTTTTTTTAAAAACTGCAACAAGTTAGCTGTTGTTATGCTGGCTCCTGTTGTGGATGCTTACTTTCAGTGGTTGAAGCCAAAAAAAGATCCCAGAAAAACCCATTAGGACATATTTGTACTCTGTTTTGGTGTGTATCCTTTGAAAGATGGGACAATGAACTTTGCAACTTTTAGTGATGTTTTAATCATTTTATGTTCACAGCCCAAAAGCTGCAAATGGGAAGAGAAGTCAACAAAAACCTGTCAGAAAGTAGTAAATACCTAGTGAGGAGTTGCTAGAAAGCAGTTTTCGCTCAGTTTGTCTTACAGGGACATGGTTTTCTATCCAAAATGAAAGCACAGTGGTAGTAGAAATACACAAGTGAATTTTGGTGTATGTTCTGAGCATCACTAAGATGGCTTCCTTTGAACACTGTCACTCTTCCTTTTGCTGCCAGTGCTATTTTCCTCCAAAGACATCAATTATTTGAGAAAGTACAAATTGGTTATTCAGTATAGTAGAAATGACCTGCAAGATGGGAAAAGTTACTTCTCTTGCAGGAGCAAAGAATGAGGAATATTACATGCCTCCTGGTTTTCTCTGTAAAATGAGAATTGAAACAGGCTGGAAAGCCACAAGCTATTATTGTAAGTCAAGATAAGGTCACTGTGATAATTTCCTAAAATTCTTTTGATCTTTCCCAGGTTACAGTCAGGTCTTTTAAAATCATAATTTTATTTTTTTAAAAAGCTATCTTGCTTTTCAGCCGCCACTCCTAGACACAGAATAACAGGAGAGACATTTGTTGCCTTCTCTTTGGCAATATTTCAACTTCTTGTGCATTGTGTTAATTGTTGGCTTTTCCCTAAATTCTAAGTATTTAGAATTTCTCTTTCTCTTATCAGTGCCTAAATGGCAGTCTTGAAAGTAAACTTACAGAGGAAAAGGCGACTGTCATAAATAGCACTGTAGACACAAATAAAAATGTCTTTACAGGTGCAACACCAGAACAATGCTTACTGATTGGCATCACTTGCATATATTCTCCTTTTCCACTGTGGGTATGGCTCAAAGTAACTCAAAAAAGATCTAAAAAGTTTTGTTTATGTATAAGTCTTAAGAGCATTAAATTGAACTAGCTACAGAGTTAAAAACATCAAACATCTTGCAAATGGATGAGATGCCTGTGTACACAGTGTGGTTTTTTGGGCTTCTTGAGCAGGAATTTGATGTAGTTTTTTGGTTCCTGAAAAGACAGTGAAGAACAGATCCACAATAGATGCTCTGTGATAACAGGAATGTCACCTGTACATGTCACATGCAGATTAAGAAATGCAGAGAATTCTGGATGACTGACCAAAGTTCTCCTGCTTTTTGGCTGCATACCTCGGAAGGGATTTAGTACCACAACAAAGATTGCTGTAAGCTGGAAACAGAGTGGAAATCTTTGCATGTCTCAGGTCAGCACAGCTGTGTTGGCAAAAAATGGTAATACAGGCCTGGCTTCAGTCAGGTTTAAGCTGATACAGCCCCAGAGCTGCTGGAGTTTTACAGTGGACCAAGACTTGGACTGTGTTACTCTTCAACACCTTGGAGTAACTAACTCCTGGAGTATGGTATAAGAACCTGTTTTTATGTCTAGTCCAAGTAGTGTGAGCTCTGTAATTTTAATTCTTCAAGAAGATATATTTGGGAAGGAAGAAGAGAATCAAGCTGACATATAAAGTCTGAATAGAAGCATTGATTTGAGGAGTATTTGTCAAAAAGGAGTTTGTTGGGTGTCTGAAGTAGTGCTGGACTTGATGATTTATGGACAGAAAGTGTAGTAATATTATATAAAGTGAAAATCTTAATTTAGTTATAGCTGGATTTTGGATCTTAGCACTGTTACCACAAGTTTTCATTAGTTCTATTCAGAAATAATTATTTTGCACACTTAAGAACATGTATTGCTTTCCAGGCAGCTTCCACTGTGGAGCAGGGAAGAGAAATTAACATTCTTTGTTTGATTTCTAGCCCTGTGAAGGTAACTTTGATAGGAGCAGTTCTTTTCACCCTGCAACGCAGACAGTACTTGCCAATAGCAAAACACAACCTTGTGTTTTTATACACCATCTTTCTTGTTGTCTTCAAGGTAAGAATTTGAAAGTTGCTAGTGACCAAATAACAGAAAATATTTTATTTAATTGCTGAAATGCATGCTGCTTGATGGGGAGGCAGCTCCTGCTGAAGATATGTGTTTAGAGTTCTGTACATAAGCAGAATGGAAGACCTGTTCTTTTACTGATTCTGTTCAATGTATGCAGGGGACAGGGAGGAAAAGAAAAAAATCAGGAATTTTGGCACTCAGTATTTGATGTTCCAGGCTTGTATGTCTGTAATCTCAAAAAAAAAAAAAAAAAAGCTTATTCTTGTAGAAAGAAATTCTCCTGTTCTCTGTCTTTTGTGTGTACCTATGCAGTTGCCAGTGGGTCTGTAAAACAAACCAGCTGGATTCTCATTTGATTTAAAATATTCGCAAAATAAGTGTTTGGGTGGGAAGGGAAAGCGTACCAAAACTACTTTGAAGTAGCTGTAACTATTTCGTAATAAAATAGACACTACTTCTCTATTGAAGTCTTCAGTCCCTCCAGTCTTGTTCATTTCCAGGATGATGCCTTTCTTCTGGATTACTAGTTTATAAGAAAACATAATCTCTGTTAGCAGATATCTGGCAATTTTAACAGCTTCAGAGCTGGTGTTGAACAGACCAAAGAATGTGTGGAAGTGTGGTTGCCAGTCTCCTTTCTGGGAAGGAGATGACAAGTTTAATTCTGCAGAAGTCAACTGTAGGGAGCCAAGACTTGAAGCTTATGTCCCCTTGATTTTCCATCTGAAATGATAAAGGCATTGTTGAACAGTAGATGCTGGGAATGAAGAAAGAAAGGAATGTTATTCTGGAAGTGAGAAATTGCAGGTGTCCACAGGAGCTGGCTGTCCAGCTGCACTGGAGTAACTAAATCCTTACACTGATGGTTGTACTGACAGTCAGGAACTTGCACCCACTTAGCGAATAAATGAATAAAGCAACAGTGTATCTGGTATAGTCCTTTAATAATGTCTCCTAGAAACTTGTCATGTCTCTGAAACCTGTAAAAACTGTTGCTATATAAACTTGTCCAGTACCCTGATCTGAAAAACAGGTTTTTCAATCCTGATTCCAAGTTATGTGTCCTAAGGGGTGCCCACCTAAATCTCTGAACTTTGTGGAATGAATATGGAAGTCTAATTAAGGTCTGGTTATGGACCTATACATTCAAAATGGAATTACACATCCCATTCTTCCAGTTTAAGTGGAAGGAAGCCACTCCATTTAGTTTTTCAGTTTGAACAAGGCACAAAAGTTACACATAAAAGTTGGTCTTCACCTTACATGTATGGCATTAAATGCAATTTATTCTCAGGATGATGAATCTTACAGAGAGTTTTTTTGTGCACATTTTTTGTGTATAGCTCACAGAAACATAGAGTCATACAATATTAAGGGCTGGAAGGGACCTCAGAGATCATCCAGTTTCATCCCCCTACCCTGGGCAGAGACATCCTCTTCAAGGCCAGGCTTGTCAAGGCTTTATCCAACCTGGTCCTGAACATTACCATGGTTGGGGCATCAGCAACATCTCAGGGCAACCTGTATCTCACCACCCTCACTGTAAAAAATCTCTTCCTAGAATCCAACATAAGTTTCCCCTGTACCCATTCCCCTTTATTCTATTGCTGCAGTTCCCAAAGAAAAATCCCTCTCTGACCTCCCTGTAGATTCCCTTCATAGCTGCGTGAAGAGTGTTGGTCAGGAAAAAAAAAGCATTCTTTGCCCAGTTTCAGCTAAAATGAGCAGAATTCCGTTGGTGATTGCACAGCCTCATCCTTGTGTAGAAAGTTAAAAATGCCATACACCCCTTCAGCTTTGAGCTTGTTTACCTGTGAAGCCATCACAACTTTTATTGTAACTTGATCCTTGTTCTCCGTAGGTAAAAATGATGTTGACGAGATGTGCAACTTCTCCATTTGCTCCCATTGAGGCTGCAGTGTGCCAAATGTTTTTTGGCTCAGGAAAGGCACCTTCCAAAGTGAAGGGTGAAAGTGCCACATCTTCCAATGGCTCTTCAGTCTGTGACCAGCCTTCTGAGCAGCACCATGAGGGTGCTAAGAAAAAACAAGCAAAGAAAACAGAATAAGTGACTTGAAATCCTTGTGATGGTCGTGAAGATGTGTGTCTTCCAGATTAGGCTGGCTGAGAAGTTTCCGCTAAGGAGAGGAGAACAGGGCTGTGTTGTGGTTTGCCTTTTTGGGATGTTTTGTGTAAGCTATGTGTAAATGCACATGTTGGATTTGTGAGTTAAAACTATGAATTTTTATAGTGGTTAAAAGTTTACTAATTTTTGTACTTACGACAACTTCAAATGCTTATATGTTAAAAAGATAGTTTCAAAAATGTGACAATCATATTTTTTTTTCCTACTGTATCACTTGTTTCACATCTTCCTATCTCCCAGTTCTTATGTGTCATTTTGATAACACTGATTTGTATTGTCAGGTGTTCACTGTAGCACGTCCCAAATAAGAAAGTCATTAAGTAAGGCTTTATCACATTGCACTGTGTAAAATCATAAAAATGTACCAATTTAATGCCTTTAACTAGGAAAGTAACTGAACTATTGTTGTAATTCACATTGCATTGGTCTAGATTTTCTTCATTTCTTAAAGTAAATATTTTAAAATATTTTTAAATGTTTTAAAATGAGAGTATATTATCTCATTATAAATATTATCAGGCACTTTGAAAAATCTTAGTTAGCAAGTAGAAACACATCAATATTTTTGTGGTTGGCTTACTTGGACTCTTATTTGCAAGCATTTGAGATGTAGATGTATTTTGCCACATTAGTGTTTTACAAGTGGTTTGTAGTTACCTTCTGGTTCATTTGGGTCTAGACATTCTTTGCCTGATTTCTTTTCCAAGCATATGCACTTATTTCTTTTCAAAGACAAACTTCATTAGGAAGAATACTAGACAGTACATTTACCTTGTTTAGTCAGCAGTCTGAGCTGCAGCACAGGGATGGGAGCAGAATGTTACCCCCGTAATCCCCAAGGGAATGGTCAGTGAGCTGCTAGATCACCTGGACACTCCCCAGCGGTGGGATGGGATCCACCCAGGGGTGCTGAGAGCTCGCTGGGCCACTTCCAATCATTTACCAGCACTCCAGGCAAACTGGGGAGGTCCCAGTTCACTGGAGGTTGGCAAATGTGACATGCGTCTGCAGGAATGGTCAGAAGGAGGATCCAGGGAATTACAGGCCTGTCACATCCCTCAGTGCCAGGGAGGCCATGGAGCAGGTCACCTTGAGTGCCATCAGGAACAGGGACAGGACAACCAGGGCATCAGGCTTGGCCAGCCTGGGTTTAGGAGAGGCAGGTCCTGCCTGACCAGCCTGAGCTCCTCCTGTGCCAAGGTGAGCTGTGATGTGTCTGCCTGGGCTTCACAGAGCCTTTGACAGCTTCTCCCACAGCATCTCCTGGAGGAACTGGCTGCTCATGGACAGGGCCCTGTGCCCTGGGGAGGAGCGGGCTGAGGGCAGGGCTGGGAGCGCTGGGACATGGAGGGACGCCCAGCTGGGCTGGCACCAGGGAGGCTCCCATGGGATCAGGGCTGGGCCAGGCCTGTTTGACATCCTCACCAAAGCTCTGCATGGGGGGATTGAGGGCCCCTCAGGCAGTTCCTGACGGCACCTGGTGGTGCTGGGTGGGATGTGGATGTGCTGGAGGGCAGGAGGGCTCTGCAGCGGGCTCTGGCCAGGCTGGATCCATGGGCTGAGGGACAGCCAGGGGAAGTGCTGGGTCCTGCCCTTGGCTCACAACAACCCCATGGAGCTCCAGCATGGGGGAAAGGGGCTGGAAAAGGCCCTGGGGGTGCTGTGCCAGCAGCCGGACACAGCCCAGGGGTGCCCAGGGGGCCGAGAGGCCGATGGCCCCTGGGCTGTGCCAGCCCTGGGGCGGCAGCAGGAGCGGGGCAGGGCCCGTCCCTGTGCCGGCCCTGCTGAGGCCACACCTCGAGGGCTGGGTCCCCTCTGGGCCCTCACGCAGGGAATGGAGGGGCTGCAGCGTGGGCAGGGAAGGGAACGGAGCTGGGAAGGGAATGGAGCCCCAGGAGAGGCTGAGGGAGCCGGGCAGGGGCTCAGCCTGGAGCAAAGGAGGCTCAGGGGGCCCTTGTGGCGCTGCACGGCTCCTGCCAGGAGGGCACAGCCGGGGGGGTCGGGCTGTGCTCCCAGGGAACAGGGACAGGAGCAGAGGGAACGGCCTCAGACTCGGCCAGGGGGGGTAATTTGGATATTAGGAAGAATTTTTTCACAGAAAAGGTGAAAAGCATTGGAACAGGCTGTCCAGGGGGGTGATGGAGTAAACATCCATGGAGTGATTTTAAAGGGTGTGTAGACATTGCACATGGGGATATGGTTTAGTGTTCGCCTTAGCCATGCTGAGTTAATGCTTGACTTGATCTTAAAGGTCTGTTCCAACCTAAACCACTCTTTAATGTCAGAAGCACTGAAAGTTTTTATTAGCATTTGCTGAAATCTTGATGCTTTCTTGCTTGTTGCATCCTTTTTTTTACTCAAGATGTGAAGCAGTTCTAAGTGGCGTACACTTCATAACTGAGAACTTTGGCATTTTAGAGATGTTACAATACATAAGAATAGAATCTTTTCAGGGGGATCTTTTCATTGATGTGCCAATTTTTAGAATAAACCATTTTTACAAAATTAGACTATTTTCTTCAGAGAGTACCGCTTTGAAGAGCATTGTTCAGCAAAGAGGGGTTAGGTTAATCTTTGTGCAGAATGCCAAAGAGAATGTGGAGGGAGATCTGATTTGAAAAGACAAAGTTCTAGTTCCAGGTACATCTCTAAATTTAGAAAAGCTGTCACCAATGCTGTGCTTAGAGAAAAGAAAAATAAAAGTACCAAAGAAATTTCTTGTGCCTGAGTAGTCACATTTCCATGGAGATGACCAAAAGCATTGAACTCACTTTGAAATCCAACTTCATTTCAAATGCGCTGTACCTAGAAAGCTAAAATTACTATTTTCTTTAACACTTAAGAAGAATTACAACAAAATACCCCAAACTCTTTGGGCAAGGTAGCAGTCATATTCCTTACATATTACACTGAAACTTAGTGTTCAATTACAAATGCTTGGAGTATTCACTTGGTGTCTCATTTTTTTGTGGCTTGATGTCACGGATTAATGTGAAGCTGCCAATTGACTAGTTAATAATCAGCTAGTTATCAAGCAACACCAGCACATGCTGCCTGTCCATGATTTTTTAAAGTTTTGTATGTTTTTTGAATAATTGTGTATTCTAGATCACATGAACTATACAGAATGGGATTGTGGCATGGAACCGTGTTACACATGTGTGAAATTCTGCCTGAAAACTGGCTATTCCTAGCCCAAGTCAATGTGAAAATATGCTTAGACTAAGTCTTTCACAAGTTTACAATTAGAGGGGAAGATGTACTGTTTTCTATTTGTTTTCAGAATTAAAGACAACAATATTAAAATTTTTTAAAATTTTCTTGTCTGAACACTTTAAAAATAATACACAACACACAAAAATGTATATTGTTTTGAGGCAGAACACAAGTTATGCTGACAGAAATCCTGTTTTAAGCATCATGAAAACAAAACTTTGTGTTTAAAGGTATCATGTGTTTCTGAAGGATAGGTGCTGAAAAAAGCTGCATGCAAATATTCTGAGAACTACATTTTATGACACAGAAAAAGATCGCCAGTTGCTCAGGGTTTAACCTGAATTCTGTAGGAGACATTAATACAGTGTGTCCAGGATGTCTTAAATAAACAATTCCCGGTTTTCATGCTGCTAGTTTTCTATCTCTGGTAAACTTTTCTGTGTGAGAATTTTGTTAACAATTTCTTAAAACTGTTCTGGTAAAGCTTGTCTGATTCAGCACAGCTGCACACATGAGCTACTTGGCTGTATCCAATTTTGTGATTAACCTGGTAAAATTAGAAGAAGCTGCCTTGTGCCTATATAAAGTCATTCAGAAATTGCTTTATCAGTTCCATTCTTGGGCTAGAAGGGCATATTCCTGTTAAACCAGTTGCTGTTCTGAGTAATTTCTACTAAATACACCCAGCTTCTGTAAAAAGGAATACCTTAAAATTTGCTTCAGAAACAGAAGTGTCTTTAGACAATAAATGCTATTTGCTTTCCTCTTCTGTATTTTCTCCATTTCATTTTATTGCAAAAAAGTGGAGATGGGAGGATGTCACACAAGCAGTACCATCATCTGAAATGTGATTCTTCAGTGTATTGTTAGGCAAGACAGAGTTGTTCAAGAATTCCAAACATCTGTCTTCTGTAGGAATCTGAATCTGCTCAGCATAAGGGGAATGCTGAAATCTAACATCTTCCAACAGTCTAGACAGTGAATGCAAGATTTACTCAGAGTGAATACTCTTAATTTATAAGGTGAATCCTCATTTCTAAGGTCTAAGTGAAGTCTTAAATGAGTAGCAACAGAGAAACACCATTTGACGCCAAGATGAGAATCAAAAATGTGTTGTAAATAGTAATTTGCATTTGTCCTGATAAAACTGCTCTGTTAAGCAATCAAAGCCTTTTGTGAAATGTGTGAAATTGTTCAGCAAGGAATAGATAGTAACATGAAGGCTGACAGAGAAATACATTAATATTCTCAGGCAAGATCACTGATCTGCCAGCGGGCTTTATCTGCAGTCAGGAAGTAGAATGTGGTGATCAAAATGGCATCCCAAATAAAAACTACTGCAATCCAGTGTGGTAAATAGTTTGTGCACAGCAACCTGCAGCTGGGTTGCACAGCCCCTGGTGTTGATAATTGCTGGTGAGTGAGGGGCTGGACATGACCCAGCTGTGTTCTCTGGCAGCCCAGAAAGCCAAACCTGTCCTGAGCTGATCCCACAGTGTGGACAGCAAGGGAGGAGGGGATTCTGCCCCTCTGCCCTGCTTATTTGGAGTGATTTAGCCATACCAATGGAATATTAGTTCCCTACATGAAGGTGCAATTTAAAAAAAAAAAACAGGTAACAAAATTTACTATTTTTCCATCTTTATCACATATATTTTTTGCTCTTGCTGGTAACTGCACAAAGCAAATGTTCTGTCTAAAGGTTCAGGGTAAATTTTGACACTGGCTAGAGATTGTCTTCAGATTCCAGTCTTAAATTTTGACCCACATATGACTCAGAAAGTTATTTCAAACTGTAGCTAAGCCATTGAATAAATTTTTAAATTAAATGGATTCAGTTATTGTTGAGATTATTTTTTTAAGTACCTTTAAAGACTGTTCTATTCTTTCTCTCCAAACCTCCTTAGTCATCTTCTGGCCACCATGAGGGGCAAAAAAGTAAACTTGACAGGCTTGCTCAGGTGAGAACCCACCTGCAGCTGTGGGGTCCCCAGTGCAGGAATAACATGGACCTGTTGGAATGATTCACAAAAGTGATTAGAGGGCTGGAACACCTCTCCTATGGAGACAGGGTGAGAGAACTGGGGGCAAAGGCTCTGGGGACACCTCACAGCAGCCTTCCACTACCTAAAAGGGGCTTAGAAGAAAGGTGGGAACAAACATTTTAGCAGTGCTGTAATGATAGGACAAGGGGTAATGGTTTTAAGCTGAAGAAAGGTCAAATCAAACAATATTAGGGAAAAAATTATGGTGAGGGTGGTGAAACACTGAAGTGGGATGTCCAGACAGGTGTCAGATGCCCCATCCCTGGAATCTTCAAGATCAGGTTGGATGAGGTGCTGATCTAGTCAAAAATGTCCCTGCTTATTGCACGTGAGTTGGACTAGATGGCCTTTTAAAGGTCCCTTCCAACCTAAACTATTCTGTGATTCTTTGATTCTATGAAAAAACGATTTCTTCAATGTTGAAGCACATTGTCAGAGGGGTTGAGGCAGCTCTTACTGACCCTGGAAGCTGAAACTGCCAGTGTTGTGTCATTCTTATGAAAGGAACTATAGGGCAAAAAAGGAAGAAACATGCATCTAAAAGAAAGAAACGTGTGTCTACTTTGTTGTCTTTGGCAGAAATTTTAACAAGCACTCTGGCACATTTTCCCGAAATAAATTAGATAAAATTTTTTATTAGTGATAGTCATTTCAATCTGAGTCACCTTCAGTTTGTCAAATTTTCTCCTCCCCCTTAAAAGAAGACTGTTATCAGACAGTTGAATGTCAAGGCTAGATTAGATGGTTTTGGTTTTTAAGTTGGACTTTTTCATGGCCAAATTTGGAATAAAACTACTGGAAGATACTTTGATCTAAAGCTTTTTGGCACACATTCTGTTTTCTGAAAATAGTACCCATTTATGGTCTTGGGGTGTTTAGGAATTACGTGGAAGTATTTTTGAGTGTCTTTCAGTGGAATTTCAGAATACCTTTAAGGTACTTAACAAGTAGATTACTCCGGCAAGATGAAAATACAAACTTACATGGTTCTGTTGTCATAGCAGAATGTCAGAAAACTCCAAGGTGAAGAAATCAGTTTTATATTGAAGAGGGTGCAGTTTCATGGCAGCTGCTTCATCACATGAGTGACTTCTGCAGTTCAAATGTTGTTTGTGTGAAAACTTTGCTCTTTTTACTTCCCTGCCACCCATCATGCACCAAAGCTTGGTTCTGACTCTCCCAGAGTGAGCTGTTTTCCTGCAAAGGAGAAAGTTGTTCTCTGGTGTTTGCTTTCTAGCTCCTGGAAGCCTAAAGCAGCAGAGCACGAGACAGAGAGAGGCTGAGTGCTTTACTTGAAATTTTCAAGCTGGGAGCGAGGCCCCTCTCTAGGCAGCTGGGGCGTGTTCTTTGGCTGCAGTCCAATTACCCAAAGTATTTCTAGTCACCTTTAGTTCAGTATAGCAGGTGAATGTTAAGGAAAACCTTCCTGTCTGATCATTCAGATGCTTCTCTGGGAGTCACACTCATTCTGCCTGAGGCTTTTAAGTGCTGGGACTGAAGCCATGTTGGAATCTGGAATTAAATAACAAATGTTCCAATAATTTGGGTGTCTTCTCCTGCAGGAAGTACACATGTGCTTTTTTATTTATTCTCAACATTATGGATTAAAACATTCAGGTTGGGTTCTTCTGAATCCATCTCTCCAAGTATAATCCAGGTGTCCTGTAGCTGGCTGGTGTTTAGAACTGCCTTGCCAAAAGAATGGCTCCTTAGAAATCAAATGTGTTGATTATTTTTTCCCTTCCCTTAGCTTTACCTAAATCTCCTGCTTATGTCAGACTGAAGTTTTGTTTGAGTAAGTTTGGCAGGAATTGGATCGTAACTGAGTTTACAAGAAGCTGGAACACAAAGGCTGTTAAAAAACCAAAGTTTCAAGGCTGGTGTCTATTAAGTAGGAAGATACAGATGCCAAATGCTAGTTTACTAAAATCCCATAAAATTAGTGCTAATACTTTGGGAAAGCAGTGAATTTTCAGAAAACAAACTCAGGCATTGCTATTGAGAGTATCCACTGTAAACAGACACGGGAACCAAATTTCCAAGTTGTGCATTGCTGTGATATTGTTCTTGTCCTCAAATGCAAACAGAATGGAGCACAGCGTTAGTGAGCTTCAGACCAATCTGAAGCAAGAACACAAGGAGTGAGGACAAAGTGAAGTAACTCCTGGGAATGCTATGCAGCATCTTATTACACGGTGTAGCAAGGGGAGGGAAGCCAGACTGTTGTCAGAAATTACCTAGGAATATGGTTCTAATAGTGGTACAGCCTTATTGTTGCTGACCTGAGAGGTGACATGCTGCATTCCCGAGTCTGTACCTGGTCTGTATGGATGTCTATGAAATCAGAGCATCAATGCTGCAAGGAAAAGCAATGATTAAGAAGGTCAAGCTGGGTAAGACCCCTGGGGATACATTTGCAGTGTGGACTACAAGAATGTGACCAGGCATTTCAAGTTACTAATAAGAATGTGGTTGTGATACCTTTAAACAGTGCTGATTTTGAATTTTTGTTTTTAACCCAGGGTGAAATGAGGTGAAGAAGAGTGGGGTCTGAGCACTTCACTAACACCAGAAAAAAAAAAAAAAAAAGAGAGCATAAAAAAGGATATTCCTGGTAAAATGCATTCAAGCATCTAGGCATGCAGTAAAGTAGTCACATCAGGCAACACAGAATTCAGAATTTAACTACCCCTAGTGTGGGCTTCTTACTGTTCATCCAGGGGCATCAGATCAGTGAACCTAGGATATCTTCTGAAAGGAAAGAACAAGAAAACTGATAAAAGTTATGGGTTGGCTTTGGCACAGAGAGTGACTGACTCGGTAGGTCGACTGCTGGCTTAAGAATAGCAGGAGAGGAGAACACTGCCCATCACAAAGTCTGTAAAATCAGCTGGACCCTGATGCTTGTGGAATGATTTTTGCACAGTACAACAACTTCAGCTGAAACTGGTAAGTAATTGACCCCGAGCAAACAAGCAAACAAACAAGCAAACAAAGAAAAGCCATTTAAGTTGCACAATGTGTAATTAAGCTGTGGAACTCATTGCCTGCAGTACAGGTGATAAAAATGGAAAGCAGTTAGATACCAGTTGTGAGTCAGGCAGGCCTCACTGAGTGTTGTCAGATGGTGCGGGAGAGTATTTTTAGAGAATCACAGAATGGCTGGGGCTGGAAGGGAACCCTGTGACACCACCCAGTCCAACCCCCTCCCAAAGCAGGGTCACCTGGAGCAGGTGGGGATGGAATGTCTCCAGAGAGGGAGATTCCACACCCTCCCTGGCAAACTGGCACTGTCCCAGGGCTCTGCCACCCTCAATGGAAAGAAATTACTCCTCGTGTTGAGTGGAACAACTTCTCTGTTTAGTTTGTGGCCATATGAGTGCATTGACCTGCTCTCCAATATTCTGTTTTCAGACCCTGTTCCCCAGGGAAAGGCGCTGACAGTTTTTTGGGGGGAAATTACAGGGATCAGCACATCTGGAGCACAAAGGATTGGCTTCACCCTAGAAAACCCACCTTCCATCTTCCCTACCAGGGAAACAAAAAGCTCCTGGGCTGGAGAGACCCTTGGACTAATGGCTGTGTTGTAGCAGCAGTGTTTATTTTGCTTCTGAAAGGTGGGCACTTGTTTTGTCAGTGTGTCCTCTCTTATGAAACAGAAGTCCTTCTCTTGCCTCTGTGCAGTTCATTATTTGAAGAGTGCTTTCAGGACCCCACATGAAAG